TCACATTGTTGTAAGTTTCGCAGTTTATCAGTTTTTTCCAAGGTCCCCGCTTTCATCTAAAAATATCTGCACTTACAGACAAGCACTTGAACAATGGCACACCAGGCCATTGGGCCCCGCCCAGTTAGCCCACGCAACCATCTCGAGGATTTCTGGCTAAATTCAGTCAAATTTTTCTAGTATTTACTCAACTTCGCGAGCCCACAAACTAGCCCCGCCCACTATGAGGAGCTCCAGCCATTTCATACAATTATTACTACCCGAAAGTTCCCATGAACGACCTGCTGAAACCTTGCCTATCAAGGCTAGCCGGTGCGCAGGTCATGATACGGTTCGATTTGGACGCCATTTGAAGCTCTGGTAAGGCTGAGCGTAGGGAGGGGAGGGTGTGATTTTTCATCCCACGCTCAGCTTTTGCAGAGCACAGAAATTACACTCAACGTAAGCTCTAAGCCGAAAATGACCGTCATCTCGCAAAAAGGTTTTGCGTCAGATTGGCACCGCATGACGCCAGCACTAAAAAGGAATGACATATTCGTAAGAAGGATGCTATAACCCTGGCTTAGAAGTTTATATAGAAGTAGGCGCCGAAAGACTGCTAGCGCCAAATTTTTTGCCTATTGGCGCCATATGGCGCTGACGACAAGTACGTTGTCACGTTCGTTATAATAGCCCCGAGCAATCCCCACTGTCAAGGTGTCAGTTGAACAGAACTGTTCTGGAGGTTTCTGACGTAGCTGTAGTTGAAAAATTCCACATTCAATTCAAAATATCTCATGAAGACGGTAACATTTTTCTCGCTCAGCCCTTTTGGACGCTCATCTTTCACAAGTAATTTGATAACAAATGAAAGATCGATGGGAATGAATGGCAATAACCCGAAGAGGTGCAAGAGACATGAGCCACAGGTGGCTCATAACGTCGTCAACGTGCTTAAAGGCACGTTCCGCGATAAACTAAGGCTAGAACCTCATAAACGTGCATGATGATCAAGCAGGCAACAGTAGAGGATATGCTGCTTTTAAAAGTTGAAAAACAGCAAGCAGAACGCATGTTTTACTCATGTTGGCCCAATAGGCCATGCCTTGCCTTCGGGTGACGTGTCGTCTGTGACATTGCCATTGAGCTCTCTCTCTCATCTCTTATCAGTTCTTTCCGCCGACTTTTGCCAGTCTACGAAGTTGATCTTGACCACCTTACGCTTTTTCCGTGGTTCCTCTCTTCAATAAGTCAACAATCACAGGGCAATTCTATTTTTGCACTGTATTACCTATGAAGTGTGGTCGCGGGAATTTCCTTTAACTGTAATCCATCGATGGGTTGAGTCAACTAGCCATCATGGACTGAGTGGCGTGCGATGCCCCGCATTGGATATAACGAACTACACCGGGAAGTACGTCAGTCAACTCACTTGAGCCTCTATCCTAGCTGTAGTTTCACTCGTTAGTTGATCCCTGAGAAGCTGCACTTGGCACCCGGCAACCTGCGCTGACTGTTGAGCTTGATCCAGTTGAGAGCGTATCAGCTGCTGGTTATACTAAACAAGTCAAAGTAGATCGCTATATGTAAGTCACCTTTGAAAAGGCAAACCAACCTGATCTAAAGATCGAGTAAGCGTTGCAGCGCTTTCTGGATTATTTGGATCTACCGGTGGAATGTTCAGCTGTAGTGTTGCATATGGCGAAACCAAGACCGGCGAAGAAAGACCATAAGGCATAGACGCAGAACTCGAAACTAATTGCTGTACCTAAACCTTGATCGAATAATCAAGCAGATTTCCTCCCGTCCTCTTGAAGCTAAATATATATAAAAGGAGAATCATTACCGGGTAGTACACTGAATGACCCTCCAACGATGTTGAAGGTGGTATGGCAGGAAACGGGATAGTACCGGCTGGTCCTGCACTCCACGTACGCGATGGGGGTAACGTCGATGAAGACGCACAGGCAGAGGGATTCTGTGGAAAAAGAAGTTATAAGCTCCATCAATTTAGTGATTATCAAGAGAATAAAAACGTGTTACTTGTTGCATTTGCTGTTGGTACTGCTGAGCGCTTTCAGGCACTGACGGCAATGATGAGCATGGATAGGTCCCTGCTGGAAATGGTAAGCCTGGTGGAATGAACTTCACAGGAATTGGAATCCCCGTAGCTTGCTGAGCTAGCGGCTTTGATGCTGCTGCTGTTGTCGATCTGAAAATGTGATAGAAATGAATGCTTGTGAGCACAAATTGCTAGCAGAGTTGCACACCTCGAAAACTGAAAGAGGTAGGTGAGGGAAAATCGGAGCTCCTCAAGGACTGATATCATCTAGAACAGGTACACTCCTTATCCCTGAGCCAGAGTAGGCGTGGCATTTGAACATGGCACGGAATTGGTTACTCGTGGAATATTCCAGTCTGGGACAACTGTCATCTTGTTCTGTGTTGGACAGAGACACGACAACAATTGTGTCAAGATGAAAATATCTCACCAGAAGCATAGACTCTTTTTAAGTCGAAGCATGCCACGCCTACCCGATCTCAGGGATTGCGAGTACATCTAGCCGTCAGTCAGCTCACACACTGGCAGTCTTCGCTAACATCCCACCATCTTATGAAAGGCGAGTGGCACGATAATTTCCCTGTTGAATCAATATACCTAGCAAGACAGAATTCGGCGCCCCTAAGCAGGTGCTTGTGGCGCTTTTCCCAAGGAAGGTAACCTTAAGCCGCCCTGTCGAGCTGCAGCATATCGACCGGAACGCCCACCTCGTCCGCCCGCCCACAAATGTCCAACCGATGTTGATGTTC